CCCAAACCTAAACCCTAAGCCCTGAACCCTCAAAGCACGATGGCAGCATGTAAGAGCAGTCGAGAGCAGAAGCCTTGTCGTGGAGCAGTCGAATGAAATAGTGAGCCTTGGGTGCATGTGCCCTATAGACCCTGAACCCTAAACTCCAAACCCCAAAAACCCTAACGGTTAGGGCTTCAGGGTGTTAGGGTTTTAAGGTTTAAGGGTTAGGGCCTAACCCCTAAACCCTAAGCCCTAAAAACTAAACCCGAAAGCCCGACTAAACCCCAAACCCTGATCCCCAAACCTATAAATTCCCGAGCCACACTTGGAGGGTCGGGAGACTTAGTAAGTAGGTAATCAGTAGACTTCTAAGTACCCTAAATGGGACCCTAATTGGGGTTGTAGTACTTATAAGTCTATAAAATAACCATTTACTAAGTCCCGCGACCCTCCAAGCAACCCAAGACGATCACTCTGAGGGCTGTTCGCCTTTTCTAGGCACGGTCAGAGGACAGACAGTCGTGGTCGACAGCCTTTACTAGGTGACTGAGGCTGAATAGGGTTTAGGGTTTGTTCTTAAGAAATAGAGTAGCATAGCATGGTTGGTTTTAATAAGGAACCCAAAGGAACGGTACCAGTATTCATTCAGGTTTCTATACTTCATCGTGTGAAGAAGCTTGGCCAACTTGTGCAGGTGCCGCCCACTTGCTCTAGGTTTGCGCAAAACGAAGTGGGGACAACTCAGGATTCATGAATGACCACCATGTTCATGTAGTAAGGGGTGAGGGTGGGCTGTAAGGTTCCATTAAAGTATGAACCCGCCAAACCAGTGTTAACTAAGCCGCGGAACATGAAACACATGAAACCAACTTCGGTACTATAGAGGAACCTTAATGACTAGAATGGCGCTCTGGGGTTTGCCGCAAAACTACGAGGACGAACCCAAAGGAGTTGTGTTATTCGTTATGTTTTTTCCCTAAACCCCACACCCTCTCTCTTCGAGTTAGAGTTTTTGTCGGAACCATAGGGGAGCTAGGATGGCCCTTTACAGCCTTTGAAAACTGCTCTTAGGCCGAACGGGGGAAAATATGAGATGTCCCGAAGGCCTCGAGGATTCATATGGGTAGTTCCCTAAAATAGGGTCCCTTTTAAGGTTCCCAAATTAGTACGGCACCCTTTAAACAAAGGACCCGCAAAGGGACCCTCATTTGGAGAACTACACTTATGGATAGTACCCTTATAGTACCCCTATAGAAACCCTCATAGACCCCTTGAAGCAACCCTAAAAGGGACCCTTATGGATAGTACCCGTATAGTACCCCTTGAAGCAACCCTGAAAGGGACCCTCATTTGGAGAACTGCCTGTATCGAAATCCTACCAGGGAGCCGGTGTTGGCTCGAAGTTTCCCGGCCACATCCTGGGAACAAGGCACGGGACTTGGGTGGAGGATCTGAGGGGTTAGGGGTTAGGGTTTAGGGTGTAGGGGTAGGGTTTAGCGGTTTAGGGTTTAGGGGTTGAGGGTTCAGGGGTTTAGGGTTTAGGGTGTAGGGTTAGGGTTTAGGGGGTT